CCCTGCCCGCCTCCCTCCCCGCCCGCCCCGCCGGCTTCCCCTCCCTGGGATGCTCCGGCTGTCGTCGCCGGCAGCCTCTCCGTGCCTGGGGCTTCCCGGCCGGCGCTCACCGCTGAGCTCGGGGCTCCCGCACACACGGGAGGGGAGCGGGAAAAGTTTGGAGCCAGGCTCGGAAAAAAAGAGGCAGGGCCGGGGCCGGGACCAGGGCCGGAGCCGAGGGGAGAGGCGGGGAGAGCGGCGCGGCCGCGCAGCCCGGGCATTGCATCTCCCACCAGCCCGCCGCCGCTGCTGCAGTGATTTTTCAAGCCCATCGAGTCAGTCCCTTCCGCGCACGGCTCCCCTCGGCTCTCCCTCCCCGCCCGGGCTCCTCCCGGCGGCAGCAGACTCCGCTGAGCCCCGGCGGGCGGCTCGGGGACCTGCGGGAGCGGGAAGCGCCGCAGCCGGCCCGCGCCCTCCCCGCAGCCGAGAGCGGGACCGACCCGAGGGGAAGCGCGGGATGAACCGGCACCTCCGTCCTGGAGGAGCCCCATCCCGAATTGCGGCCAGGAGGTTTTGGGGTTGGTGGTTGTCGGTGTTCATCCCTTCTCTCGTGAGTGATGCAAGGGTTTGTCCTGTGACAGGTCCTGGGGCTGGGTCGGCCCAGTGTCTCTGGGATGTAACAGGGAAGACGCTTCATGGCATTTGTGTTTCTATGTTCCAACAAAGCCCGCGGAAATATGTAACAGTGCATGAAGGGAAGTAGATAGACCACCCCCCAATATCAATATCAAGGCACCATAGTCCGGCTTCCTCACAGAAAGGACACAGTAGGAAATCAAGGATGAAGATAGTTTTGCTTCCATTGAAGCACTAAAAGCAAAACAGCTGTTTTGTGAATGGTGGCTATTGGTGAAAGTTGGGCCTTGTGGGTATCAAGACGACCATAAAACATTTGTTGTTGGGTCCATGACACAAGGATCTTGTTTTCAATGTTTCAAGTGCAGTAAAGCACATGGCTATGAACAAAATACTAGTTCCAAGGTTTAAATTTCATATTGAGAGATGAATGAGTTTGAGGATATTGACTTTAGTTTTTCTTTGTATTTCCTGTGCTCACTGAGCCAAGTTTAATCATCAGTTTCATAAAAATCTGCTCAGAGAAGCAGGAATGGAAATACATTAATCTCTGAACTGATCCACCGCTAAAATTCTTTTTTCATACCACTGTTACATTCATTTCATGTCCATTCATTTTAGCCCCAACAGGCACTGTTTTAAATGTCAGGACTATCAGGCCCAGCAGCATTTTACAAATGAGAACAGCACCCTGGAATTTAATGGTGTTACACCTGAGTTGAGATAGAGTCATTGAACCTAGGCATCTATTTGTAAATCCCTGTCTTGTGGTTTTATAAGAGCAGAATTCAGAGAGGCAGAGACATTGTGATCTTGGGTATAGCAGTAATTGTACAGCAAAGATATTTCTGTAATAATGCTGAAAAAGATGGCGTCCTTTTCTGTAAGCCTACTGTGTAATATGCAGGGCTTAATATATTGTGCTCATTCAATTATAGTTTTAGTGAGCTGCAGTCACAAGAGACAGCAAAGCTTTTCAGGCTTTCTGGTGATTTCCTGAAGGTATTTCAGCACTTGGTCACAGTACAGAACATAATAAATTGCACCATCTGTATACATAGTTCTTGGTTCCTGACAGAATGAGAGATAAGGCTTTAGGCATTGTATGCCAAAAAAATACAACACAGATTTATTTTCTTTCAGTATTTACAATGCCTTAATGTCTGAAGAACTGTGGATTTTCCTGCCATTAGCAACTGCCCAAGTAGCTGTCTCAAAGTGCTGTTCCTGTGGTTCAAAGACAACCCAGGGAACTGAGGAGACAGAGCCAAACTCAACCCACAGTTGCACAGAAGCAAGCGCAATCAGGGATATTGTTCTGACACAAACAAGAGCAGAGTTTGGCCCAGGTAATCAGCATCTTTTCTCTCTCACACTGGTAATTGACAGTTCACTTGGGAAAATGATTGGGCTGCAAATATATTAAATCCAGCCTCTGGACCCAGTCATATGGTCCACACAGAAGCATATTTCCCATTAGTCAGAATGGCTGAAGAAAGGGCTGAATGTGTGCCCTGTTCTCGTCCACATGATACCAGTACTTTTCATTAATTACTTTGGCTTCTCTGCAGTTTCTATGGAGAGAAAATAGAGTCCAGGATTTTTTTCCACTTATAAGGAAGATAAATGATAGAATTTTTGCAAGACTGTAGGCCCTGAATCAACGACAGTCTTGGAATATGCTTTGCTTAATAATGCATTAAGTATTTTGTAGCACCAGGACTGGTATGTGGAAGAACATGATGATTTGTCTGCAGCAGTCACATACTGAAGTGTGGAGAAGGATAATGGCTAGGGCTACCATCCTGGAACCAGAAACAGGATTTCCTGGTGTAGTCCCAGTACTAACAACTCCCTATGCTACCTTGGGCATGTTTTTGAAATTACCTACACCAGATTCTCTGCCTGTCAAAGCAGCACAATGAGATCCAGCTACCTGAAATTCTTGCTGTGTTTGGTGGGAAAGGCAGTAACAAGGTCCTGTCCTCCAAAGTGTTTAGCTCATCACAGAAACATGGAACAGTACCAGATCCTTTGCTGGCGTGGTTAACAAAGGTCCGTGCTCTGGTTCAGGGCTCTGGAGATGAAAAGTGATTTATAAGTGTTACAGGTCAAAAGAATAGCTTAAACTATTTTAAAAGGGTCTTCTCTTTTTTTGTTTTCAGAAAAAGACAGCACAAACAGCATCATTCAAGAAGTTTTTTGAAAAATTTAAGTCAAATATTAATACTCAATGGAATGATGACCATTACTCATTTTCCCTTTCATCCTTGATCTGATTACCAAAGAAGAATATTTATCTTGTTTGTTTCATGTATTTATTTTTAAACAATTGCTGATAATCAGAGAAATCATGATTAACACTCCAATGCAGCAACAACTCCAAAAACATTAGTGTGGATTGCAACACTGATTAGCTGTACCAACAAATATTATCGTATTTCTTTAATCTAAGTATCCATAATAGCCTTTAAGAGGCTATTTATTTTATCAGTATTGATGGAGTTTACAACATAAATTCAAATGTTCAGAGAGCACAGAAGAAGGTTCTCTTTGATATTGACTTGTCTAAACTTTATTAAAATCAATAGATATTCCCCAGTCTATTATGTCTTTTATGCCTATGTCTTTAGAGACATCAGAGGGGTTTTAGCTGAAGACAGTAGCACAGGAAGCAAAGGCAACCTCTTCTCAGGCTCTGTGGTCAGTCAGGCCTAGAAAGAATCCACTTAAACTGTGTTTTACTAATGACATTTCTGGATGCAAGTCAATGAACTCAAGAAGAGTGTCCAACCTGGTAAAATCCTAGAAAACATAAACATGCTAGAAAACATTTGAGCACTGACTTTTCAAAGCCTTCTTTAGCCTGGCATGGTCTGTCCCAGATTAATTTTTGGGTTTGAGTCTAGAAAAACATCAGCAAGCAGTTAAACATACAACATCACTTTTGCTTGCACTGAAAATATTTTTGTTGCTATTTTTAAAAGATATTTTTATTACTCCATATATCTATAGCAGTGCTTTCAACATGTGGAAAGAAAATTGACTGGTTTTGGATTTCAAGTTTCTACCTAGCAATCCATAATTTATTGGGATATTTTTAGAAGATCAGGAATTAATAAAGGTCACAGCAACAGAAACAATGGAGGAAATTGCATTTCTTCAAATACCATAATCTCTTCCCAGAGAGGGGACAGAATTCTTCTTGATGATCCAAATTATTTAATAAAACTGAGGACCATACAAATAACAGATTTTATTTTTGGAAGATTAGATTATTCTATTGTTCAATATTCCGACTAGTGGGAAAAGATTCCTAACTTTGAGCATATCTAGAATACATTTGGATAACAAATGATTATTTGATTTTCATGATATTCAAGTTTTGGAAATGAGTTTTAAGTTTCATAAGTATCTGAATTTCAATAAGTACTCTTAAAGTTTTCTCTCAGATAAATACAGGCTATTGCACTGCATCTGGAAAATAATGCCAGGGGGTCTCTTCTTCCTTGCTATAGGTCAGGAATACTGTAATCAAAATGAATGTTTCCATGTCAGGTTAGGTGAGGAGTGAATAGGACCAACATGGAAAGCTGTATGTAATCTTCAGCTTGTGTTCCCTCACCTGAAATTACAGGACATGGTAGATTTTTATCCATGGTCAAAAAAGCTGTGGCTATACATCATACAAGCCTGCTCTTATATTTTCAGTTTTCTGGCTCTGAGATGCTGCTTTCAGTGATAAACAGGCCTCCTGCTTACTAACTTGGAGTAGTTTCTCACATTTTCTTCTCTTCAAAAATGGATTTGGTCAGCAGTATCCTTGCTCTTTATTTATAAATATAAAGGTAAAATATGTGGGATTAGTTATTAAACTGTCCAGAAAAGATCCTAGATGTAAGGAAGAGATTGTATGCCCCAAATATGTTCTTTTTTCAGCTTTATCAATTGTTCACTCAACACATTACTTCTTACATATATTACATTTTCAATCAGTTGTGACTTTATAATGAAATCTCTACATGCTGAGTGAACTGCAGGTTGCAGCAATCACTTAAGTGCTATATCACTTTTTCACTCATTATACATTGCTGCTCTGGTCTCAAAGATTATGTACTTATT